AAAAAAAAAAAAAGAAACCCGATTTTGAGGGGTTAAGAAAAGAACAGTCAGTAAAGAGATGGATGTTCCTGGTGTAGTGAGTGCCCATGCCTATAATCCTAGCAACTCAGGAGGTTAAAAAAGGAATAGTGCTTGAGGCCAGTGGGCAACAGTGAAACCTTTCTAAAAAATAAGAAAAATTAGCTGGGGATGCTGGCAAACACCTATAGTCCTAGCTACTTGGGTAGCTGAAGCAGGAAGCTTGCTTGAGCCCAGGAATTCAAGGCTGCAGTGAGCTATGATCATGCTACTGTATTCCTGAAAGAGCAAGACCCTGTCTCGAAAAAAACAAAAAATGAGACATGATGCTCATCAGGGGAAGCCCAGTATTAATGAGAATCAGGATGGCATTAGGAAGGTGACAAGATACATCATGGGGAGGTTTAAGGATGGCTTTTCCAAAACTGGGTGACCTGGGGGTATTGGAAGATGGAGGGAGAGAGCTAAAAGGACTGTGTCAGGAATTCCTTCCCAATGCTGTGCCTTAATTCCTACCACCCTCCTCTATCTGCATGCAGTCATCGGGGGATCTCGAGAATGATGAACAGGCAGCCAGTGCCATCTCTGAGCTGGTCAGCACAGCCTGCGGTTTCCGACTGCACCACAGCATGAATGTCCCCTTCAAGCGTCTGTCGGGTGAGCCTTAGCCTCTGGTGGTGGTGGTAGGAGAGGGGGTTCTCCTAGAGGTTTTCTTAGGGAAAAAACACCTGTTTCCTTCTTATAAGCCTTCTGCCATCTCTTCCTTGGGGTCCCTGGTGTGCTCTCTTTCTTCTCTTTGTTATTCCCCGTGTCAGAATTGAGTAGAGAAAGCAAGAGGAGAGAGATTTAACAAAGGCCATTCAGCTGGGCACAGTGGCTCATGCCTATAATCCCAACACTTTTGAGAGGCCAAGGGTGGGGGGGGGGATCGCGTCAGACCAGGAGTTTGAGAACACTCTGGGCAACATACCAAGACCTCGTCTCTACAAAAAATAATAAGCCAGGTGTGGTAGTGCCCACCTTTAGCCCCAGCTACTCGAGAGGAAGCACTAAGAGGACTGCTTTAGCCCAGGAGTTTGAGGTTGCAGTGAGTATGATCACCACTGCATGCAGGCGTGGGCGACAGTGTGAGACCCTGTCTACCCCACCAGGCATGCCCATCCCCCTGCCCTATAAAAGAAAAAGATCACTCACATTCAAATCTCTTGAGCTTAGAACTATAGAATTTCTTTGGCTATTGATCCTAGCCAATGTGTGTGTGACCTCATGGGGGCTGATGCACCCACTAACTCTGTGCTCCCTTCCTTCTCCTGGGGCGAGGGAAGGTGGATCTTTCCTCTAGTGGTCTTTGGAGAGCACACACTGCTGGTGACCGTCTCAGGACAGAGGGTGTTTGTGGTGAAGAGGCAGAACCGAGGCCGGGAGCCCATTGACGTCTGAATCTGCCAGAGGGCAAGGGTCTGAGAAGTGGATTGGGTCCATGGGCCTCTGTGATGAAGGCATAGCCATCCTCCACCTCTTTCTTGGCTTGCTGCAAAAACTAAGGCCTTCTGCTCACCCACCCCTTCCTAGAAGAGCAGAGGCTTGGGGACTTTGTACTGTGTTTTCAAAGTGAATGAGGACAACAGGACTTCCCTAATAAATTTGAGTCAGATGTTCTCCAGCCTAGGGATGTGTGTATGTGGGGGGTGGGTTACACCCCAGGTCTGTCTTCCACTTCTGGGGAGCAAGTCATGTACTTCAACACAGGGTAAGTGAAGCAGGGTGACCTCTGAACACTGTAAAAGTGGGTATCAGAAACAAAGGAATGGGAAGGGAGCAGGGGAGCTGTCTGTGAGCATGAGGAAGGCAAACACCCTGAGCCCTGGCAGTCTCTGCTCCTTCCATTAACACATGAACAGCAATCATTCTTCACCCTCCTGAATAGGCATTTAATAGTCTCATTTCAGTTGGAAGCAGTAGTTGGAGAATAAGTTATAGGAACAGCCCCCCCCCCCAAAAAAAAACAAAAAAAACTTAAAGTGCTTCAGGCTGCAAACGTAAACATCAGGGGCAACAGGAGGCCCCCTAGCTGTCTCCCTGACCCCTCAGACAGGAGGGTCTTTGTCCAGGTCCTTTGTCATCACTACCCTAACCTCAGCCCTGTGGGGTGGGTGGGAGGGAATGTCATAAAAGGACTAAACAGGAATGAAGAAAATACTTTGTAAACTTAGAACCAGGGTAAAAGGCTGGGGGCAAGAGAACTCCTGGAGCCCTTGCCCTAGCCTAGGGGTGGGCCCAGCCCCCCCCCCACCACAGGAACTTGAGGAAATACTGTTGCCTTAGTGCTGGGGCCAAGCCTGCTCATTTCACAGCTTCTTCCCTCAGCAGACACACACAGGCAGATCTGGTGGGCCTCCTCACCCCCAGGGGAGGCATTCCAGGGAGGCAGAGCCTGAGAGTAAAGACCCCCTCCAGGGGCTTTCAGTTTCTGGAGTGTAAGAGGGAGCAGAGCTGGCAGGGCACTATTTGACAGGCTCCACAACTAGGACCTTGCATTCGCGCTTGGCAATCTTGTCCAGAGCGAGCACAGCCTTGTCCGGGGGTAGGTAGAGAGGGCGGCCGATGGGGGAGGCCACAGGGGGTGTGATGGCCCTGCGCTCCATCACACTGCCTGACCTGGGAGAAAACAAAGGCCGTGGGCTCTGTCAGAGCCAGCACCCTCCATGCTCCTTCCCTGGTTCCAGCTTCTGCCCAATCCAGTGCCACCACCCACCCCTACTCCCTGGTTTTGTACCTCATGAGGTGGCTGCGGGAAGGCTGTTGGTGGGAGAATGATTGAGAGCGGCCCAGGCTAGCCTGATGCCTCTCCACCAAGTCCCGGACGGCAGGGCTGCTGGGGCTGCTCTTGCGAGAGAGAGGCCGGGCCTCTGGTGGAGGGTGGGACACACTGGCCGTGAACTGTAGCTTCAGTTTCATGTGTTGGCTCAGCTGGAGTGGGAGGCACAGGTCAGCATTCCCACTGGGCTTCCAGGTCCCAGACATTTCGTATCTGCTCCTTCTGATTGACCAATATTGGATGGACCTCAATCCCACTTTCCTTCTGCCCAGCTTTTCAGTACTCCCCATTATATTTCATCCACAGAAGCTAAGGTTCCTTCCTGCCTCTCTCCACAACATTCTGCATCACCCAGCACTCAGTCCAGACCCTCCCCAGCCCACCTCAAAGAGCCCGGTCCTCAGAGCTTGGAAGGCCACACTGAAGGTGAGCGCACTGCCCTTCCGGGAAAAACCCAGGTTGTTGAGAGGTGTGTGGCAGACGATGGAGTCCAGAGCTGCCTGCATGGCCCGGCGTTCCTCCTCACACAGCTGTTTGCCTGGGGGCAGAAACAGGGACCAGGAAACACTACAGCGTTCCTCAGTTCCCAAAGGGCCTTCGTGAGCACAGCTTCCTTTGGTCCTCAGAGCCATTCTGTGGAGCAAACTGAGCAAATGTTATCTTTTGCCAGGTGGTATGGATGACAGTAGCTAATGCTTACTGTGTGCTAAGGCTATTCTAACCACTTTGCGTGTACCAACTCATCAATGTGCATTGACAATCTCATGAGGTACTAATTGCTCTAGTTTAGAAGTGAGGCCTCTGAGGCCCAGGGAGGTTAAGTAACTTACCTAAGGTCACAGAGCTAGTAAATGAGAGAGGTAGAACTCATGCCAGAGAGTGTAGCTCCAGTGTCTATATGCCCTTAAAAATCACTCTGCCTCACTGCTTTTCTAAACCCTCTATGTGTGACACAGTGGAGACTACCCAGGTATAGAGCCAAAGCCACCTGCCATAAGTTGTCCACTGTGATGGGGACAACACCAGGTTTGAGCTGTTTTCACTGTCCTGCCTTCCTTGGGACTAGGTCCCAACCTGGCAGCTGACCTACCAGCCTGTGCGTGTTCCGGGGTCCATACGAGCCTCACAGCAAGGAAGTCTTGGAGGTTGTTGAGCAGTGTGTATGTGACAGTAAAACGCTCATAGGTCCGAACAGGGGACTCACAAGAAGCAGTCATCACAAAGCACGGGCGGTCCAGGCGGACGCTGGGCAGGCTAGTACAGTGAGAGAGGGAAGCTGGATGTGTGTATCACAGGCAACAGATAGATCAGCAGTGCCTGCAGGGGGTCCCACACACTCACCGGTAGTGGGTGTAGATGCTCTGGGTGAAGGGCAGTTTTGGGGTAGACCACTGAACCACAGCAATGAGGGGAACTTCCAAACCCTGCAGGAAAGACAGGAAGAGACTTGACATGTATTATAGGTTCTTTGCCCATCTTTAGTCAACCCCCTGGTGTTTATCTCTTTTCCTTGAACACACCAACTCCTATGCTCACCTCCTTGGCCCCTGGAGGGGGTTGCTCACTCCCTCTCAACTGAAACAGGAAGTTGTGTTCTTCTAGGGCACTAAGTGGGCAGGGGAAGCAGCCAGAGGTACCAGGGAGCCGGCAAAAGGAGCCCATGGAGACTTCTCCAGATTGGTGACTAGTTCAGAAAAAGAGGACAGGGCATGATCTCCCCATGTTAGAGCTCAGCCCTTGTCCCCACCAGTTCACAGCCCTGCCCCTCCCCAGGACCTCACCAGACATTGTCCACCAGCAGCACAGAGCCATCAGGCATAACAGGTAGATAACTAGCATTGAAATTGGGGAGGATTCGGATATCCCAGATGGAGATTTCCTCTTGGGAGGAGCTGTTCAGCACTATTGGAGAAAACCAGCTTAGTTCTGAGTAGCTGGACCATTCAGGCCCCACCTTTACCCTCCAAAAATGGACCTGTCCCCTCCAGCCTGCCCAGAATAACTACCATCCAGTCAGTTCTCTTGCTGCTACCCAGGACTTGAGTGGACAGATATGCTCACCCTTGAGCACGGTCAAGTGTTTTCCAGCCACAGTGAACTGCCGGCATTTCAGAACCGGAGGGGGCAGCAGAGTCAGCAGGGTGCTCACTGTGGATGGGGGCAGAAGCAAGAAATGATAATCTGCGCGCAGACTCACCTCCAACCCACAGTTCTAATCATCCTCCTCCCCATAAGGTACTCTCCAGCATGACCCCTCCATTCAGTCCCCCAGATCCCAGCTGTTCTCTGCATTCTCCTCCCCACCTTGGGCCTTGAAAGCATTCTGCTCGCCCCTGAAGGTCTCCCCAGGAGATCGAGTCTGCAGCAATCGCAGGTAGCCTTGATCTCTGACCTCTGGTGCCTCAACCTCCCGCTTCCACACAGTCACTACGATCTGGGTTTGAGGAACACAGAACCACAGTCAAGGATAGAGACAGGTGGCTGAGCCTTGAAAGGACGTCTGAATTAGGACACCTCCACCCCCAGCCATCTTACCTTGGCCTTAGGTGTCCCTGGGGGCAGTCTGTCCAATGAAACAGTGAGTGGGAAGATGACCTCATCTGTGGACACAATTGGTTCCTCCACAGGCAGCTGAGGTTGTGAACAGGGTGAAGAGGTCAGTAAAGAGCCAAAGGCAGCCTGCAGGTATTCTCTTTAAGGCTGCACTATTAGGTCCCTCATGCCCTCGCCTCCTCTCCTGGGCAGTCATCTACTCCTTGCCTTAGGCACCCAGCGTCCATCTCCATCCTGTCTGTGGCACCCAGCAAACCGCCCCTCTGCCCTGTGCCGTGTCACCCCAAACTCCTCACCGTGGTCGCTCCCCCTGAGGTAGCAGGGTCCGGGCCATGGGTAAGAAGAGGACTGCAGCCTCGGAAGAACCCCCCACCTCCAGGATCCCCTCCCCCTGGGGGTTCGGAATCCTGGTCGCCGGCGCCCCCGCCCCCTGTCATCCCGCCTCCAGCGCTGACCGAGGCCAGGGCGGCCAGGGCGGTTGCCAGTTCTGCCCAGGCCCCTCGGGAGCCTAAGCCCGGACAGCCCCCAGCGCCGGACCCTGCGCTGCCTCGGCAGCGCAGCACCAGCAGGAAGCGGACAGTCTCCCCCAAGTACAGATGGTTGCGCCTGGGCAGCGCCCGGTACCGGCCCGGGTCCCCTGCCAGCTCCGCGCGTGGCGGCAGTGGCACGGCCGGAAAGTACATCGAGTAATCGCATTGGGACTCCATGGGGCGGCGAGGACAGCACGCCCGGAGCTGGGACTGGAGACCAGCCCCGGCAGGGCCCACGGAGGACGCGGGAGCCCGCTAGGGTGACTCCAGTGAGTCCCGATGCCCAGAGGTCATGCGCACGGCCGAAGCGGTCCAAGAGACCAGCCCAGTCAGGGAACCCGGGCAACGAAGGCGGAACCGAGACTCCGTAGAGCCGGAACCGGAGTACAGGACCGAATGACTGGCCACAAACGGGAAGCGGAAGGGGAGGGGCGTGGCCTTCAAGGCCCCGGAATCTCGGGGCGCCGGGACACGGAGGAGGGGGCGGGGTCTGACGCTGTGGGCTGCCGCGGGAAGAATGGTTCTGAGACCGTAGGCGGGCTTTGGGAAGAAATATTGAAAAGACCTGCTCCAGCCCCACTGTTCTCAGGAAGATTCTCTATTTTTCCTCTTCCTGTTCAACAGCTAATAGAAGTTCCAAATTCTTTATTCATTCAACAAACATTTCATAGTGAAATAAACATAGTCCAATAACAAATATTTCATAGAGAAATCGACGAATCATTCCAACTCACCATGCCCCAAATTCTCCTGGCTCTCTATCGTTAGCCCCTCCAGGGACTTTGGAGAGTGCTAAGATGACCTGCAGTGGGGCTGGAAAGGGGAAAGGGCAAATGTGTGAAGGAGAGAGGCGCTGCTGGGAACCTAATGTCTGGGATTCCGTGTCCAAGGCCAGAAGACGGGGTCTGCGAGTCCTGTCCCTTGTGAGGAAGCAGAAATGGCATGTAATTGCCCCATACTCATCACATGTGCCCTTGTATCTTAGCTGCTTTTTGTTATAAATCTGTAGTCTAATGCTTATGGAGAGAGTAGCTTTGAAGTCTTAAGAGGCAGTGGGACTGTAGGGGGGAACTGCTTGGCGTCCAACTTGTCCTTGTACTGTAGCTCAGGGGTAACCAGGCGCTCACATTCCTCCTGGTCTTGGGGGCTCAGTCCACTCCGAAGTATATAGCCCAAAACCTTAGCTGACCCAAACTGAAAGGGGCGGAACCGACGGTCAGTGATGTATTTAGGGTCTAAAGCCTCACCCCCTACCAGACAAAGTTTAGCCAGGGCTTCTCGGTGAGCCCGGAGCTCAGCCACCGCTTTCTCCAGCCGTTTCTGGCCATATTGCTCTATCCGTGTCCACAGACTACGATTGAAATGAACATAGAGAGCCCAGTCCAGGTTGTTCCAGGCTCGAGCCCGTGCATTCAGCTGCTGATCCTCAACAGTCAATCCACCATTGTTGGCAACGCTGAGGCCCTGCTCACCTCCAGCCTGGGCATTGTGCATGAAGCCCACCACATCATCCAGATCCCAGCACAGGGCATCTGCCAGCAGAACTAAAGACTCATCAAAGTACTCAGCCACCAAGACCAGGTCAAAGACAGAGTCTAGCCAGGCTAGGCCCCACTGGATGAAGGATGAAGACCCCAGATTTACAGAGGCAGGACTGGGTGTCTGGATGTTACCATGAACAACAGTGGAAATAGGATGGAAGAGAGCATTGGGATCTAGGGTTCGGACTCGGGGGCCAGCACCGGAAGGCAAGACATGCATCTGGTGGGGGTGGGGATTTCTGGAGGAGTGAGGATTCCCTTTCTTGGCCCTCATCTCTGGAGGAAAGGGTAGACCAAAGTCAAACCATAGTAAATTGCGGGCGTAGTGGTCCCCACGGCCTCCAGGCCGGTAGAAAGCTCGAGGATTGGCCAGGAAGGCAGCCAAGGATGGTGACTTTCGAAAGGCTGATGAGGTGGATTTATAGTAGGAGAAGGCAGAGCGGGCTAGAGCAGCAGGATCTCGGACAATGGAAAAGAAGAAGCTGTCAGAAGGCATGACTTGAAGTACCTGTGAAGGAGAAAAGACAGACATAGGGAGAAAGAACTGGTTCCAGGAGAAGGTAAACACAAGCCAAGTGCCTAGCAATCCCTAGAATCCTCACAGCTCTGCTAGGAACCCCCAGGTTCTGTGACTTGCTACATGGCAAATTACTTATTATCTCTGAGACTCAATTTGCTTATCTGAAAAATGGGGATGATCATTCATTCCTAGCTAATTATGAAGGGTCTATGAGATAAAGGTTATAAAGAAAGCTGGAGCATGGGAAGCTAGGCACCTTGGAGAGCAAAACACTCTGGACTGGGGCTTTGGAGAGCGGTGGCCACTTGGTAGGGTGCTGAGCTGAGGGCTTGGACATGTGATCCCCCTTCTCCCCAACAGAGAATCAGGCTAATACCCTAACAATGCCCGGTAGGGCAGATATACATCAGAACCTAGCTCCTGGACTTCCTGGAGTGTTTCTGCATCTGAAGAGGATTTCCATCATCAAATCTGACCTTTCACTGTCTGCTACAGAAGTATGGCACACCTAAAAGGCAAAGCCTGAAGGCAGAGGGGTACAGGGATAGTGATGACAACAGAATTTTGCATTCAATGGACATGGAATAAAATCCCAATTCTGCCATTTGCTAATTGTGTAGCCTTGGGCATGTTATTGAACTTCTCAGAGCCTTTGTTCCTGCATCTATAAATCTAGGTTAACACCTGGAAGAATATGGCAGTGCCTGGAACATGGTAGGTATTCAATGAACAGTGGTGATGATGAAGGCCATCATTCTACTCCATGGGGAAACTACCTCAAAGATCACTCATTGCCTCACTCCCAACAGCAGCCCTTTAGTGCCCACTGAATCATGCCCACACTCCTCCAGCTTCAGTGATGTTGTCTTTGCAGTCTTTGCTGAAGTTCTTCCACGGTGCACACACTCTCTTTCTCACACATATGACCCTGTCTGTGCTGATGCTCTGCTCCCTCTAAGAATATCTGATGTTCTCCTTACCCCAAAGCCACATCCACCTTTTCCTTTAAAACCCGTCTCTCCAGGCTCTGCACCCATAGTACAGTGTTTACAGCACCAGCCACATACACTGAGGCTGGCAGTTCTAATCTGGCCTAGACTAGCTAAACAATGACAAGTGCAACAAAAAAATAGCCTGTTGTTGAGCAGCACCTGTGGCTCAGTGGGTAGGACGCTGGCCCCATATACTGAGGGTGGTGTTTTTTGAACACAGCCCCAGCCAAACTGCAACAAAACATAGCCAGGCGCTGTGGCAGGCACCTGTAGTCCCAGCTACTTGGGAGGCTGAG